CAGGGGTGATCGTGGCTCAAGAGTTGGGAGTTCGCCTTGTAATTGGAAGGTTGCCGGTTCGAGCCCCGGCTACAATGTAGCTCCATCACCAGTGTGTGAATGGGTGGATGACTGGATATGTAAAGCACTTTGGGGTCCTTAGGGACTAGTAAAGCGCTATATAAATACAGGCCATTTACCATTTCAGAGAAGCTATAATTGTACTATGTCACACCCTGAAAACAGATTGAAAAGCAGGAGCAGGCCAAGTTAGCAGAGCAGGCTCAGCCAGAGGAGCAATTTTAGCAGAAGGTTCAGATAACTCCAGCTTACTAAGACCAATGTCTGAATCTGTGATATAATCACATTAAAACATACATGGCTTGGAGAGAAACTCATGCACACTCACTGACACTGCTATCTTGGGGCCAAACTGGCTGTCTCTAGGCAGGGGGTGGAGATAAGTGCAAAGGGAACAACAAAGAAACAAACAAAACAAAACAAATACATGCAGGGGCCCGGAGTGACAAAATTAATTAAATACATCATTCGCAGATGCCAACAGATTAAACCCCTCTGACACTGCTGTTGATCAACAGCAGTATCTCATTCTTTCCATGTTCTGTGCAATATTTTTGGCTCATGTGCAACATCTTTGGTATGAGCAATATTTTGGTCTCAGTGGAATTACCATCCCCACGCTAAATGATAGCCCCTCCACCCTTATTTATTTATTATATTATATTATATACCTGCCCTTGTTTACATCCGCATGATGTTTCTATTTCAATGTTTCTACCCATACACCATGATATAGTTCACTCACATATATGGGTGCATATATATTGCTGTTTATTTTTTTTTCCCTCGTTGCATATTGTTTTCTTTTCTTTACTTGTGCGCCTTTGTGGTCCAGCTACCCAATTTTGCTGTGCAAGAAACCGCACAATGACAATAAAAGCTCTAAGTCTAAGTGTAAATAAACTGATTTACCAGGCCAGTAATGTTGTGGGGATGGAGCTGGACTCCCGTAGGGTGGTGTCTGACAGGCGAATGTTGTCCAAACTAAAGAGTGCTGGATAATACCTCCCACCCACTCCATGACGTGCTGGTCAGTCACAGGAGCACACTTAATCAGACTGAGATAACCAAAAAGCACCACTGAATGGCACAGGAAGTGGCCATCTCCCTGTACAACTCCTCCTCTAACACACTGTAAACACTGCAATAGTTGCAGTCTTTTGCGCACACTCTTTACTACTCTGTAATTTTCTTTGTCAGTATTCTTGATATTTATTTATAATCACCTCTGTTCATTCTTGATATTTATAATTGAGTGATCTGTATATATTAGAGCTATTTCTCAGTATTCTGATTCTGATTAAATAATTAATGAAACATTTAATGAATTAATTAATGGCCAATTTAATTAATTCATTCAAGTCACTCCTGGCCCTCCATAATAACAAAGGCATGAATGTGGTTTTTGTAAGTAAGTAAGTAAAATTTATTTATATAGCGCTTTTCACAGATAAAAATCACAAAGTGCTTTACAACACAGAAAATGGGAATATAAAAACAATATAACAGTAAATAAAACAATGTAAAACAATAAAACTATAAAAACAGCATAAGAAGAAATTAATCAAATGCTTTTCTAAATAAAAATGTCTTCAGCTGTTTCTTAAAAGAATCAATGGAGTCCGTGCAGCGAAGAGACAGTGGGAGAGAATTCCACAACCGTGGTGCCACAGTCTGAAAGGCCCGATCACCACGAGTTTTAAAACGAGTGCGCGGTACCACCAGCAGTCTCTGATCTAATGACCTTAAAGCCCGAGAAGATGTATGTGGTTTCAGCAGGTCAGATAAATATTGAGGAGCCTGACCATGCAGGGCCCTAAAGGTTAGAACTAAAATTTTAAAATGAAACCTAAAATTTACAGGCAACCAGTGAAGGGAGGCCAAGACTGGAGTGATATGCGATCTTCTCTTGGTGCCTGTTAAGAGACGTGCTGCAGCATTCTGCACAGTCTGAAGACGATTTAAGGCTGATTTGTTAAAACAAGTAAAAAGGCCATTACAATAGTCTAAACGAGAAGAAATAAAAGCATGAATAATCATCTCAAGTTCAAGCTTTGATACCATTAGTCTGAGTTTAGAAATATTCCGTAAATGATAAAAACAGTTTCGGACCAGCTGCTTAGAATGCTGCTCGAGCGACATCGAGCTGTCAAATAAGACACCGAGATTTCTAAGGCTTGATTTTACGTAAGGGTCTAAGAAGCTGATATGCTGTCTAATTTCTGGGACCATGTGGTCTGGAGCAATAATTAGAGTTTCTGTTTTATCAGAGTTTAGTTGGAGAAAATTGTCATATAACCATTTGTTGATTTCTGTCAGGCAATTACTTAAATTAGACAATTTATAAAACTCAGACATTTTGAAGGAACAGTATAGTTGGATGTCGTCAGCATAGAGATGATAGGAGATATATTTATAGCGCTTAATAATTTGGCCTAGGGGAAATACATAAAGTAAAAAGAGAATTGGACCCAGGACAGATCCCTGAGGTACCCCACACGGCAAAACTGTTGATTCTGATGTGACATGATTCATGCAAACAGTAAAAGATCTCTCAGACAGATATGATATAAACCATTTTAAAACAACACCAGTAATCCCAAACAAGTTCTCGAGTCTGTTTATCATGATACTGTGATCTACAGTGTCAAAAGCAGAGCTGAGCCAGCAGGACCAGCACTGTGTATTCTCCAGAGTCTGCTGCCATCAAGATATCACTAGATACTCTAAGTAAGGCCGTTTCAGTGGAATGCAATTTACGAAAACCAGACTGGAAAGTGTCCATAACAGCATTTTTATCCAGGAAATAGTTAAGTTGTTCTAGTACTACTTTTTCTAAAATTTTCGATATAAAAGGCAATTTGGATATTGGCCTATAACTGTTAGGAAGAGATGGATCCAGCTGGGGTTTCTTTAATATTGGCTCAACAATAGCTTGTTTAAAGAAGCTGGGGACTGAGCCAGTATGAAGAGAAGTATTTATCATTTCCACAATACAGGGGCCAATTGAATCAAACACACTAGTGAAAAATGAAGATGGAAGGACATCAAGGGGGCTTGAAGTCTGTTTTATATGACAAAGCAGGCCTCTGATGTCTTGTAATGTAACAGGAGTAAAAGACGACCAAGTATCAGAGGAGAGCAAGTTAAAAGTTTGATATTGAGAAGATGATGGAGAGATATTAGACCTGATGGCAATGACCTTATTTCTGAAATAGTTCATAAACTCATTGCATTCGGACGTTGAGTGAACTGGTGCACAAGGAGCATCAGGAGAAACAATACTCTTAATTGTTTTAAACAAGAATTTAGGATCTTTCTTTTTTGAAGCTATGAGGTGTGAAAAATACTCTGTTCTGGCATTTTTCCACATGTCATTTAGCAAGAGGATAGATTCTTTAAGGTGTAACTTATAAACCTCAAGTTTGGAAGCCTTCCACAAACGTTCTAGCTTGCGACAGTATCTCCTGAAATTACGAATGTTTTCATTTAACCAAGGATGAGATTTCAAACGTAGGACAGTACTTTTTTTCAGAGGTGCCACTATGTCTAAAATAGAAGTACACTGGTTATTAAAGGATGAGACAAGAGAGTCCAAATCATTGTAAGTCATTTCAGCGTCAAACATGGCAGAGAACCTTTTGCCGGCGTTCAGGTTTATGATTCGCCTTTCAATCGTTATTTTGGGAGCCGGGGGATCCAAATAAAACGACAAGTTAAAATATATGCAGCTATGGTCACTCACATGGACATTTTCCACACGAATGTCATTTATATTTAAACCCAAGGAGAAAACAAGGTCCAATGTGTGACCCTTTACATGTGTAGGGCCAGAAACATGCTGCATAAAATTAAAAGACTCTGTGATAGTCATGAAGTCAGCAGCCATATTACAGGATGCATCATCAATATGAAGTTAAAATCTCCCAACATTACCACCTTCTCTAATTTAATAATGGATGATAGGAGGTCGTTAAATTCAGTTAAAAAGACTCCGGCAGGGCCAGGAGGTCGGTAGATTAAAATACAATAAAAGGTGTGTTTTTGCACGTTATCCCAGTTTGATCCTGTCTATGTAACGGATCTGGGCCCTACAGCTTTAAGCAGCTGCGCGCTCCCGCGGACGGCAATCACTTTCTGGCACAACACCTGAACTATCGCGAGACTCAGCGATCCTTACTGGAGTGAATGGAGAATGACGCGACTATTCATTCAACGAGCCCTGGTTTAGCTTTAGGTGTACACGTTGCTAGGCAACACTGCGACCAACTCCAACAGAAACAAAGGCTTCGTTTTCCGCCACTGACTGAAGGAAGTCACAGCGATGGCAGCTGAACACATCACGGGGCTGAAGCGGAAAATCAGACTGCTCGGTAAGTTTGTTCGGCGGGTTTCAGCTCAGCTGGAGGCAGCTGGTGCACCTTAGCGGCTTGTTCCGCTCTTCGTGTTCCAGGTGTTGCATTTTCTGCAGTTAATCACAGATTTGAGCGATGAAAGAGCTCACGGATAAAGACGCTTGCTGTCTCCAGTTCGTGTCGATTATGACAAAGTTTCGACACTTGCAACTGATCAGTGTCTTTAAATGAGCTGCAGAGAATGAATAAAACGACTTGTCTTCTAAAATTCTCAGTGCCCTAAACTGTGATTGATATTTTCAGCTGATATAAATAGAATAGAATAGAATAATACTTTAATTGTCCCACAAGGGGAAATTTGGTTGTAACAGCAGCCAAAAAGACACATATACAAACAAACAGTACACAGGACAGAAACATACACAATTTTTCTTACATATTTACATTAAGGACAATGGTTACTATAAACAGAGAGTACTGTACAGTTATTAAATTAAATAAAATTTAAACAACAATGTTATTGTTTGTATAGTCTCCAAAACACCTGGGACTGATTACTGAAGATAATGATTTGTTTAACACATGAGCCATAGCTTGATTCTCGTGACAATCAGATCTGTATTATGGAGGTTCTGCTTCCATCCTGAATGATCGCTACTCCTCATCTGAAATCCCATCTAATGAATGTAAATAATACAGTCGCTGTGATGTAAACACAAGCAACAGCGGTCTGTCTGTCTGAGGCAGGTGTACTTTAATTTTATATAAAACAGTGCAACCTTATTTTGGTTATATCGAGCAACAGCTGTGACCATCTGACAGGTACACTCAGGGTCCTGCTGAGTTCCATCTTTCTTTCATCAGAAGAAAAAAACGATGGCACAGAAAAGCACAGGTAGGCATCCAGCTTGAGGATATTTCATTTTAACTTTATGAAGCATTTTACAATCAGCATGATTTACGCAGTTATCTCACACAGCTTTTTCATTACTCACATCTGTGATAAACTGCAGAAAGTGCAACACCTGGAACACAAAGAGTCGAGACGAAGCAGCTTAGTGAAAAACAGCAAACTGCCATTTAGGTTCTTAAATGAACTTTAACACTTATAATTGACTTAGAGCCGATAAATTCAGCAGGTGACTGTGGGTCACCTGTTTCTCTGTATTATTGGTGGTGATGAAACGTGTCCATAGAGGTGGAGAGAAAAGCGTGCTATGACAGACATGAAGCTGCCATCATGAAGAACCAGGAGCTGATCCATCAGCTGAGGGAGGACAACAGGAGGCTGCACAGGAAGCTGGCAGGAGCTCATGCTGTAAGATGGTCACAACACAAGCTAAAGATGTTTGAATGCTGATCTGAACTTTATTTAATTTAAAATAAAGAAGATAATAGTGCAGTCACACACAGACTGAGAAACCTGGCCTACCTAGCTGGAAGCCATTTATGGTCCTTATGAAGCTGGAGACAACAATCCTCCTTCTTTTCCTCTTTTTTAACCACGTTTATCTCACTCAAAAAATGTGTTTTAGAATTCATTTTTGGTGACACTGCTGTCTGCCTCTTAGCGTGATGAGCAGGTGATCAGAGCGGCCTTTCAAAACAGAGCAAGGGAGAGGGAATCCTACCGCAACAAGTCTGTGAAGGTGAGAGGAAGCCTGTGCACGCACCCTGAACTCCGATTTTACTTGAAATGCAGTACTGTGAAGAAATAAGTCCGCCAGTGACTGAGCAGCAATTAGCTGCAGCAATGTTTTTGTGACTTTATCAATCTGTCACATCACTGTGGGGCAATTTTGGTCCACTCTTCTTGACAGCACTAATTCAGATTTGACTTCATTAATCCCCAAAAGAGCTTTTTGCCTGCAGCTTACACATAACACACAGTCTTTAAACCAGCTTTGATGCACAGTAAAGCTGAGATCAAGAAAAATAACATAAGGATGAAATAAATAAATAGAATAACAAGGAGAAATGTATAAGAATAAACATTCACAGAAATATTCATCATCTGTCAGCAGTAAGTAATCTAAGAGCTGAGAAACGAGGATTTTAGGTTTCTGAATTTTAATGAAGGACTTTAAGTTTAGTTTATTCTACACTGGGTCGGGTCCAAGGTCACGGCGACCAACTTATAACAACACTGCCGAGCGAGTTTCTATCCTTGATACATACTGAGCCAGCAGATAAAAGAAAATCTTCAAAGACTTTCAATAAATGAACAATAAAAATGCCATAAAACGTCCCCACTAACACATTCTCTGTTGATCCTGTTTTATGATGGAGATATTTGACAAAGGCTGTGCCGAGATATTTATAAGATTGCACTATTTCACAAATAACACTGGCTTTATACTCGGGGTTACGCGTCTGAAATCAATGATCATTTCTTTTGTTTTTGACACACATTTAGCTCCAGATAGTTATCATCACACTACTTCACAAATTCAGGCGAAACAGGGCCGTGGACACAGTCAGAGGACAGTGATATCAGGCAATTATAAATCTGTCCTCAGAAGAAGTCCTGCAGCTGTCGGTATACATAATAACGAGAACACATCCCTGAGGGGAACCAGAGCATGACACAGTCCTGCCGGATATTTGTTAACGAGGACTTGTCGACTCGTCAGTAGGAAGTTTAAAGTCAGCATCAGGAGCTGTTCTGGGAGTTTGGAACGTGAGGCTGCGTCTTATTAAAAGCAGAGAGGTTGGCAAACAGAAGTCTAACGTGAGGACTGGATTTTTTGAGGTGCTCTTAGACAGACTTTAATATAAAGGGTTTAGCATCATCAAAACTTTCACTCTGCTGATGAACAAATTACGAAGGATCAAGTTTACCATTAATGGGGGATCAAATAACACTTTAAAGATCTTTTCCAAGGTTTTAATTACCAGAGTCATGTAAGCGCAACGTGAAATCATTTGAAGTTTTGGTTGTAGGGATAGGTACTGCGGTTTGCACCATTCATTTCTGCACAGCTCTCTGAGTTCTGCAGCACCTTGATTCTTTGGTTTTCCAGTCGTTCTATTGGAAATGGTGCTCATCCCGATCAAACTGGGTCATCAACATTATCGCGTTGATGACCCAGTTTGGTCCGAGCTTTAGCTGTGGAACAGATGGCCTCACACTGACTCTGGAATACTTGGGTATGTAGAGGTGTCCACGGTCCACTCAGTGACTCATATGTCCCTAAATCATCAGTCCTCCACGGCCCTTAACCTTTAACATGCTCACTAAGGTGTGCAGACTATCTGCTAAAGCTGTTTTGGGTTTGTCATGTCCAGCTGCATGGCACACAAGATTTGGACCCAAATGCAGGACAGGAAAGGAAATAAACTCAAAATACAAAACAAAGGCTGGCCAGGAACAAGGGTCCAAAACTAAAGAGCCAACAGTTAGAAGAGACGCAACCATGAGAGAGGACACAACAAATAACTGAGACAAACTGAAGGAACAAATAGGCATGCCAGGGAGGGCAGCTAAACCTAAGTGAGAAAACAAGACAAGGAATGTAAAACTAAAAACAGAGCACAAAAGACAAAAAACCCAACAAGGTAAAACAAGTAACAGATCTCAGGAAATAAACAGACTTGACACAGAGAGTGCAGGAGGCAGGAAAACAAACTCAGGGAATTACAAAGGACAGAATCAGGGCTGAGAATAAAAGAGAAAATGAGCTAGAATACCAAACTGAAAAAGGCAAGAAAAAAAGAGCAAACTAACCTTCCTGTCGTGATCGGGTCAAATCGCCCCGATTTACGACTTAAAACACTCATAAATATTGTGTTTTACATGTGATTGCCTCCAGGCCTTATGACATCCTCCACACTATGCACTTGAACATGTAAACGTGATGAGCACTTCTTTCAGTGAATTTTGAGTGTTTTAATCAACCTTGAATCTATGGAGTTCCCGGTAAAAAGTGACCACCATAGGAATTTCACCTGAATTTTGGTGAAAAATATTTGTTATTCTAATTGAAGAGCTGATAAAACAGACTGGGAGGGGGTGCACAAAACTGGAGTGCTAAGCAGAAAGACACACAGGTGAAAATCCAAACCAAAGGCTAACAAACTGAAGATATCTAACAATGATAAGCAATAATAAGCAAAAAACTACAAAAGGAAAAAGACTGACTGAGAAAAAGGATCATGAAGGGCTTTTGCAGTTTCTCTGAGCTTGTTGTGAGTTCACTGGAACGTCCTCTTCTGTGAAGATTTTGTTAACATACCTGAATTCTGTAGACCTGCTCACACCGATGATGATCAATCAATTAAGTGTGATTACTTACATTTTTAATTCCTGTGGAAGCAGCAGGGTGTTCTTAGTTCTTCACAGGACTGCACACTAAATCTGTTGTCATGGTCCGCATGCATGACTGCACTGCATTCCTCCTCTGCATGTCTCACAGGAGATCATTGGAACACTAGACGACTGCGTGCTATCCAACAGGAAGCGTCTTAATGCCCTAAAACATGGCACTGAGATCTATGAGAGGCGCCGTGGAGAGCTGAAGATGGAGTACCGGAGAATGAAACCAGAGCACAGTGTAGCGCCCCCTGGTGTTCGCACTTTGAAAAAAGAGGAGAATGCCATGGTAGTTACCTCTCTGATTCAAAAACAAAAAAGTGTCATTGCCTCTGAGTTTCTTTTTATATGGTTCTCATTTGTTATAAGATGTGCAGGTCAAAGGTCACAATGAGCAATGATTCGTGTTTGTCTTCAGAACTTGCGGGTCCTGGAGAACAGTCTGGAAAAAAGCCAGTTTAAGTGCAAGGAGGCCGAGAACATCATGATTGACTACCTGAAATTAAAGAGTCACTTACAGGTCAGTCCGGCGTTCCTCGTAAAACGCAAGACTTTGTTGGCACCGTCTCCTGTAACGGTTTGTGTTATATACTTTTGAAACAGTCACTGCAAAGCTGGTCTCTGAAAATGGTTATTTTGGTCTTTGCTCTCAGCATTAATTCTGTTTTAGGCGTTAGCAGACACCTGCATGCTCGTACCTGAGCACAGTCTCTTAAACACTTCCTGTAAGATCTCTGTACTCTGCAAAATCTGCTCTTTGAGCCTGACGTCATTAGCCGTTTCTGGGTCCAAAGTCAAACGAACACTGCAGCATCACTGAAAGTTACAAACTGTCTAAAATCTTTCATCTTTAATACAATGATCAGCGTTGCTGCTTTATAAGGTTTAAATTAAGTTTAACATCCAGGCATCCATGAAAACAGGATTTATTAAATTTAACGGAGTTAGAAGTTAGCAGGAAGTTAGCTCGCTAGTTTCCACCTAAACATGATATAGCATGTTCTGACTGAGAGATTTCTAAAAAAAAATTCAAACGTACAGCTCTGCTTGTTAAGTCAAAAGACATGACGTCGTGGTCTCACTCCAAGCGCTTTATTCGTTACGCCATGTTTTACTGCTCACACACAATAACAAAAACTCACCGTGGACCGTGATATAACAGAAAATAACAAGTTAACAATCTCCCTCTTTCTTTTTTTAAAAATAAAAATATAAACACGGCAGCACGGTGGTTAGCACTGTTGCCGCACAGCAAGAAGGTCCTGAGTTCAATTCCACCATCAGGCCGGGGTCTTTCTGTGTGGAGTTTGCATGTTCTCCCCGTGTTTGCGTGGGTTCTCTCCGGGTACTCCGGCTTCCTCCCACCGTCCAAAGACATGCAGCTTGTGGGGATAGGTTAATTGGATAATCCAAATTGCCACTAGGTGTGAATGTGAGTGTGAATGGTTGTCTGTCCCTGTGTGTTAGCCCTGCGACAGACTGGCGACCTGTCCAGGGTGTACCCCGCCTTTCGCCCTATGACAGCTGGGATAGGCTCCAGCGCCCCCCGCGACCCTGAAAAGGATAAGCGGAAGCGAATGGATGGATGGAATGGATTGATGGAAAAATATAAACACCCCTTTTAAACATTTGTATACATATGTGTGTAAACAAAACAAAAAAAAAAACCATGTCAACTTTGTTGAACATACAGGAAACTGTCAGGGTCCTGGGTCATTTTGACCCAGCGTTTTGTGTTTCCTTGAAGTTCATTTTTGTGCCTTGTGTTTATTCTGATTTTGTACTAGTTTAGGGTTGAACCTGAAGTTTGGTGTATATTCAGCCCTACCTGTGTCTGTCCTTGGTGCTCTGTTCATGTCCCCGTGTTGTGTTGTGAATCAGTCTGTGTGTTTCCTGCTTTACTTTGAAGGCTCGTGTTCTGGATTTCCTGTTCTATTCTGAAGGTCTGTGTCTGTTGTCATTGTGTTCAGCTTGTGTCCTCCAGTCATCATGTGTATTCAGATCAGCTGTTCTTCCCTCCTGTGTGTGATCATCCGATTACCTTGTATGTGTATATTTAGTGGGTGTCGGTCTGTGTTCGTTGTCGGCTCGTCTGCGTTCTATGGTGTTCCGTTCCTGTCTCTGCCCCACACCCCTTTTGTATGCTCTCAGGTTTGTCATTTAGTTCTCCCAGTTTAGGTTTCTTCAGTTGTTTTCTCATGCTTCGTTGTCTGTTCTGCCACTGTCACCTGTAAATAAACCCTCACTCATATCATCAGTCGGCTGTCTGCATTTTGGGTCCTCCTTTTCCTCCAACACCACACGGCTCACCCCGCCAGCCGTGACAGAAACACTTCAATGTGCTTTGCTTTGCTTAAAGCATACTATCACTGCACACAATAAACAATAGTGCATTTTAATGCAAAGAAAACTTCACAGTATCCAGAGTCCTTCATCTCGTGCTTTTAGAAGGGTTAAAGGTGAAACTCCCTTTTTTGTCAGACAATCAGCAAGTTGGAATTTGGAATCTGACCAACAAACCTGTCTGATTTTCTTGGCTTGTATGAGCTCTTTAATGCTACTCATTTCTAGCCTCAGTCTCTTCTCTGTAACCTGCTTAGTGGACTTGAGTGCATCAAACAAGGAATGATTGTCAGTCACACAGATCAAAGGAAGAGCATTCAGACCAGTGTTACCAGTTGTAAGCTCAGAAAAAAGTGTTGCCAGGAAGACCGCAGTGTCTATTCCATCTGACATGGCAAGAGTTTCTCCTGCCAGTGTACTTCTGACCACACGCCTGATTTTCTTAGGCTGCCAAAAGAGAGGACAAAACTTTCCTCCTTTACCCATAAGGACGATTAATGTCCCTCCTTGAGTACCACCATCAGGAAGGTTACCAAAAGAAGCGTCACTGAAAACAACCAGTGCCAAATCCTCACTGTTACCCAAGCTCTGAGACTTAAGAGTCACTTTCTCTGCCTTAAGTTTACAGATAACTTTGTTCACTTCATGAATGGACTGCACAGTTGCATCTTTGATATTAGATCCAAGGCTGCATGTGTCAAACATCACATCTGGCCTCGTTTGTTTGGCAACCCACAAAATCTGTCCTATTTTTGACCCGAGTTGCTCCCATTCTGTTTCACTTAAGGAAGCATCCCTCTGTACAGCCCATGCTGCTTGTAACTGAACCGGCTGTAGGTTATCAATGTAAAGTTGTTGATGTGCCTCTATTACATCATTAACTGTACAAATGTCCATACCCTCTTGAGCCTCTCTGTCCTTGCCCGGATGATGCGGAACCTTCTACCAGATTGCAGAAGTTGGAACAGTTTGTTGCCAGGATGGGACGGGTCCTTCAATATCTGCGCTGCTCTAGTCCGGCATCTCCTGGTGTAGGTGTCCTGAAGCGGGGGGAGAGCAATCCTGCAGCAGTGTTCTGCTGTATGGATCACTCTCTGGAGAGCTTTTTGGTCCTCAACACAGCTGTTCCCAAACCAGGATGTGATGTTCTGTGTGAGGATGCTCTCCACAGCGCCTGCTAGAAAGTCCTGAGGATCTCTGGAGAGACCTGAACTTCCTCAGTTGTCGTAGGTGGTACAGGCGCTGCCTAGCCTTTTGCTCCATTGATGATACTGGGCTTGTAGTCTTTGTGCTGACTCCTTCTGAAGTCCACCACCAGCTCCTTGGTCTCGCCAACATTCAGCTGGAGGTGGTTATCATGGCACCGTGATGCCAGATTCTTCACTTCATCCATGTAGGCCGCCTCATCGTTGTTGGAGATGGCGCCCAACACCACTGTGTCGTCAGCGAACTTCACAATGGTGTTGGAGCCGCGGGCGGCCACACAGTCTGAAGTGTAGGGGGAGTAGAGCAGTGGCGAGAGGACACACCCCTGTGGTGCTCCTGTGTTGATGGTGATGCTTCTAGAGACGCATCTACCCACCCTCACCACCTGAGTTCTGCCAGTGAGGAAGTCCAACACCCATGCACACAGACGGCTGCTGAGTCCCAGTTCATTCTGCCAATAAAACACTGCGGGATCAACCTGTGATATTTTACCACCAGTTTTGACCATAATGTCTTTGACCTTATTGTACCAATAAAGTGAAGCATCTGCAAGTCCATACACACACTTTTTTAGTTTCCATAGAACATTGTCCTTGCCAGCTTCAGGTGGGGGATGAAGATAATGTCGCTTGACAGTTCCATTCCCTGCAAAAAGGCAGATGTAATGTCCATTTAATTCATTTTCCACTTGTTTTGATATATCACAGCTAGCACCAGTCTGAGGGACTCAGATGCACATGTTGGAGAGTCTTTCAAACCCGCAACAAGTCGGGCCTTTGGGACGATACCATTATTAGTTTCTTTGAGTGTACAGAACCGTCTAGTAGACACACATTTTTGACCCAGGTCTTTCACTTCATCAAACACGCCATTACTTTGCCAGTTCTCAATCTCCTTTTTGGCAGCATCAAAGGAGATATCTTTTGTTATTAGTACATCTACATCTCTGTTTTCAGCTTCAGTGCAAAGACCATCAACAAGTGACATGTCTAAAGCTTTCTTTTCACCTTCACTACCATCAGGCTTAAGATATTGCACATTGTACCAGTTTTTGTATTGCCCTTTTGCTTTTCCCAGTCTGCCTAGCACTCTGGCTGTATGTTGAACACCGTTGTCTCTGTTCGTAAAAGTGATCAGCTGTCCTGCCCTTAACTTTACATCTGCAGAGGAGACAGGATCAGTGTATGTAGAAGACTGTGTCATAGACATGTTACTGTAGTGTTAGTTTCCCTGTCACTAGTGATCTCTTCTTCCTCACTAATACTCTGTTCACCATCGGGTGCTTCTGTCTCATCATTTTCAACTGTGTCTTTGTTGTCAGTGTCATCATCAGTAGTACTCTGTGGTATTTGTTTATCTCCACTCTGTGCATTCACTTTACTCAACCTTGACTGCTGTACTCTTACAAGAGTAAGAGTCCTGCCCAATAACTACACCTGGACCCTTCCACTCTGTACAGTCGACTCGTTTGTAGTATACTTTATCTCCTGCCTCATATTTGTCATCTGTAGGCCCAAGTTGCTTGTGTAGTGCTCTCATGATCCCTTCTGAACACTCTGCCTCAGTAAATGCTTTCCTGGAAGCATGTAATGCTGATGTGTGTTCAGCTACTCTTGCGCCTACAGTTGTGCTTTCTAAGGCAGGTGGCTTATCCATCAACACAGAAGGAAGGTTGGGGTTTTGGCCAAACACAAGTTGATGTGGACTATAACCATGTACAGCATACTGTTTTTGGCCATGAGGGCCCAGTCTAACGCAGTGTGCCAGTCACATCCTTGTTCCTTTTTTACCTTCAGGAGGATTTCTGTAAGTGTCATGTTATGTCTCTCCAGTAGTCTGTTGCTCCAGGGACTATACCCCGCCGTTGTCTTTACCTCAATGTTGAAGTTTTCGGCCATGTCCCGAATCTCTGTGTTGTTGAACTCTCCGCCGTTATCTGTGTAGAGCTGTCTGGGGGCACCGTGAATGCTT